AAAGGACAGTTAAGGGTCATTATGAGTTACTTGGTTGACAGTGGACATCAAGTTAACTTAAATAATGCTGTTAAAGTTAACTATCATGTCCCATCAAGTTTATACGTTTGTCTCTACCCTGACCTTTGATACATGCCATACAAAAGTGGGTTATAATATAACTTGGATTCATCGATCTACATTGAGATTGTTTCTAAATTTTCTTTCACCATTGCATTTTTACGTAATTTCAAATTTTTTTATTTGTTCTCATGTCACTATCATTAGACTAACAGCATTAAGACGTTCCTATTGGAAACCTAAATCGATCTAATTTAGATCGTCATTGAAAACCTGGAAGCACTGAACTACCACTGCGACCAAGTATGGGAGGCAGCTAGGCACAGACAATGGGAGATGGCCGGGCAATATCATGGATTAATTAAAGTTAGACATTGAAACCGTTGGACGCCGGCTTTGTGGTCTAGAGTTTAAACATTCGCGCACGAAACCAGAGGTCCTGGGTTGAATTCTAATGTGCAGGCTCATGAATGCCCACTGTTGAGGAGTCCTATACTAGGTTGATGTGGTCATCCAGTGTTTCCAGGTTTTTGATGATGGTCTAAATTATTAATTTCCACATTTTATTAATCCTATTGATACCTTTTAAGTAATCTGTCAACCGTTGATCTACATGTTTCTAATTTTTGCCAATAATTACTTTAGCTAGTGTAATTTATCTCTCTCTATTAATTATTTAATTAGCCGTTCGACATCATTGTTTGGCTCTACTACTTGACTTGTATTACTCTATTATTACAGTAAGTCATTTATACATATCAGTGTACATCCATGATAGAAGATTGGTAGAAAATGACTATTTTTTCCATTATATTCGTCTTTTTACTAAATACTTGAATGAACAATTTTATCATACTGAAATGTATGTTTGATAAATTTTAACCAGAAACTAAGTATAATGGATAGCATATGCAAAACTTGTCTGAGGTCTAGACAATTTTTTATTATCTAATTGTATCGCAAAAAGTAGAACAGTTTAAGAGTATTAACTTTTGTTAACTTAAAAGTGTTTTATGCAGACTAATAGGTCATTTGGAGGCGGGATCGGTTATTAGGGCAATGATACAAGTTTTATAGCCAAATGGTTAATTCAGATTTAAATATTTACTGATACTATAAACAAATAACGAAGTCAATGATTATCGCACTTCATTACTTGTGTTTTCTAAAAAAAGTAATAGGTCCTGATAAAAAAAGACAACTAACTACGCAAATTACTTCAAAAAACACGGAAGTAGAAAGTTGATAGTTTCTGATTGATCAAGTCATATACCAAATCAAAATAGAATTGCTGCATTCGTTAAAAAAAACAAAACAAACGACTTACAAAAATGGATTGACAAACGTTTAAGGATTTTATTATTATACTTTGAATTCCGAGTAAATAAAGATTGAATCAGGGTACTATTAAGTCTATATGGTAAACTAATGTTGTTTTTTAATTATAAGTTTTACTAAAATATATAGCTGTGATAAAGATGGTTACAGTTTTAATTATGTCATACCTGTTAATACTGAAAATAGAATGACTATCTAAAGTATCATCAAACTTACTTTAAACATTATGGTTAGTTTGAAAATAGATTTTACCTCAGATACTAATGATATTTCATATTTCCCCTTGAAAATCTTTACTGTTCTGTTTACCATTGATTCTTTTTCAATCATAAACATAAACCTTTTTTAAAACATACAATGTATGTATTAACATTTTTTAATAGTTAACTTGTTCAGTCTCTCTTTTTTCTTCATCAGTTTATCTACTCAGTTTCTAATGAATATCTCTTCTACAGTATTTATTCTTACATTCTAAATTTAATATTTTAATACCCTCTATTATATAATCTGTTCTTGTTAAATGCTTGCCTTATGTTAGTTTGACAAAACTTTACTTACATAGTTTGATGGCCCTTGAAAATAACTTTAACCTCAATTATTACCATAATTTTTATCTTCATTTTAAAAAATTTTTCTGACCAAGTTTTAGTTTCCACTTCAGAAAAGATACTTTTCGTTACTCATTTATATCATGTGTGGGAAATCGATGAAAGAGTTTTCTATTACGTCATTTCAGTTAGTAATAAAGTTATTCTATAAATAAGATAATGTTCATTAATTGGTCAAATTAATAATAGTAATACATTTTGATGCAATAAAGAGAATTCTTAGCATCAAATATCCAATCTCGATGAGATTATAATTTATGGACGAGCCAATCAGAAGCGCTTTAGGTATTTCATGGTCACAACACCAAATTCAGTATCTGATGCTCACGTACGATCGGTTCACAACGGATTGTAAGGAAAACGTGATAACTGAGCGACTGCAACAAATGGGACTACTAAGAAATTCTTTTATTTGTGATTGTGGTAATCGTATGATTTGTGGACCTTATGTAGACTACCATGATGGTGTCTTTCGATGTGATATGTGTTGGAAGAAATAGTCTGCCAGTATAAGGTGTTTTTGCCCAAACCAGATTGAGACCAAGACAAATTGCGAACTGGATAATAAAACCACCAGTAATATTGGCTGCAGCTAGGTACTAAAATATATATGGTTGATTGGAGAGCGTACGGATGCCTACATAGACTTAGTTATATGCATCATATCGTTGTCCACAAGCGGCATTTTGTGGACCCGACAACCGGAGAGCACACAAAGAATATTTAAGCTATATGGTTGAGGCTGAAAGAGTTTTCGCGACCTGATCATGGATCCAGAAGCTGACTATTATGGAGCCATACGTATGATTTCTATCGTATGCATTACGATTTTAGAACCTCTGAACCTCTTTCTAACCTTAAAAAAAATTTTGAATCATGTAAAAGAAGTGTGTCCACTTTAATTCTTTGGGTTTTGTATAATATATTTTCACTTTATACTAACTGTTTTCTGATTGGCTAATATTCCCTAAGGTCACTTAAGAGTCGTTCAAAGGTTGTTCACAAATTATAGTCGCGTTTGTAATCTCTTAAAACAAATCTCTCTTTAATATATATTCAAAATGTTTTTATTTGTTTTAACTGTCACTATTTTCTACCTGTATTTAATTACTAAAATTTTCTGATCTGTTTAGTTGCTATGACTACTTTTCACCATCTATCATATATAAGATGCTTTAATTCTAATATATATTATATATATATATCATTCTGTTGTATAATCGATTATAAAAACAAAACCCATCAAGAACTACAATGTTCCAATAGTATCGAGAGTAATTTATAGTCCATTTTATTATGAGATATGAGTACATATAGTAAGCATTAATAAATTATTAGATTAAACAAATTAATTTATGATTTGAATAAAAAATAAGTGGGTTAAATGTGTGTAAATAGGCCACCCTGAATAAATTAATATCATGCATAATTTACTTATATATTTATATATTATGTTATTTAATTCAGTAATGGTAAAATGATACACAAAATTTTCATAGATTACTTAATTGATCATTTTCAATATAAAATAAGATATGAATGGTGAATTATTTTATTATTCTAAAAGTCAAACTATAATATTTTAATGAATTCACTAACGTTTTATATTAAAAATTAGTGAACTTTTGCAATAAGCACTCCAAAAAGTGTATTATTTCTAAATTAGAAAGGTACTTCGAAAAAAATGTAGTGAATAAGAACACCATTGGGGACAATCGAATGTATTCGAGCACAAAATTACAGAGCATCTCAATAAAATTTGAAAACCATATAGTAAATTGTTAATTTGCAAAATATCAATCCATCATCTCAAACTCGATTGTTCCTTTTGCAAACATCAGTCCATTCAGATTTCATTGTTAATGCGTTTTCATACTAATTGTGTTCCGCTCCCGTTCTTTCCTTATCGACCTTCTATTGAAATATATTCTATATCTTACCACCGTTACATATTACTTATGTGGATATAAGTAACCCACACCACATAAGGAGTTGAAGTTATAATCAATGTAATAACAAAGTAAATCATGTAATGAAGATAATAATAATAATAATAATAATAATAATAATGAATACTTTAGTCTACGATTAAATCACCATGTACATAAAAAAGAATTTGTAAGCCTTTATCCTCTAATTCCCACTATGTTTATATCTATTCTGTCTCATTCTCAAATTATATATTTATCTTCTTGATTCATATGAACTTCTTGTTATGATTACTTTAATAAAATCTTCCTAACTGTACTCGATATTATGAATACTATTACCATTATTATTGCTATCATTATTTCTATTAAGCAGCCAGTATTTTATACACATGCTCGTTTCAGTATTCTTTGTTTTTAAATATTCTATGGGAATTTTTAAATTGATACATTAATTGAATGAAACATTCTTGATCACATCAAGATAAATTTTGTAGACTGATTAGAATTTTACAATTACGACAAGCCAAGTTATATTCATGTGTACAGTAAACCTGCGGTTATTAAGTACGTCATTGGCATGTATTTACACTTTGATGCAAACTGCTTTTGGGAACAGATTCAAGGCATTTATATGTAGCAAATGCAATTGACTGATAATTCTCTTAACTTGACATAAGAAGCAACTATGAAACTAGAAAACTGTCTCAAATATCAATACTTTAGTAAACTAATATTTGAATTAATGAGTCGATGTAAACTAGACGACCATGGGAAACCTGGAAGCATAGAATGGCCGTTTTGTTCCAGTGTGGGATTCCTCAGTAGTGCGTATCCACAATCTCGTACGCGGGACTCGAACCCGGGGCCTTCGGTCTCGTGCGCAAATCCTTAACCTTTAGGCCACCGAGCCGCCATCCAATGATGCACCAAACTTTTGTATACCTTTTTATATTTTACGTTTTTTCGAAGTTAACTTATGGAACATTCTTCAACATAACATATTATACGTATATATATGTTAATAACTTGATGTTATTTTCTTTTATCACTGTTTTATTATTAGGGTATACCTATTGGTCTAGCTGCATCTATTCCATTTATGTTACAATCAAGTTATTATACCGGAAGTTATCAAGCACAAGCTACATTTTCATTGGTAATCTGGCCATTTTCATTCAAATTAGCTTGGGCTCCAATCATTGATTCAATTTATAGTACACATATTGGACGTCGAAAAACATGGCTTATTCCAACACAATATGCTATTGGAATTGAATTAATTATTTTAGCCAATTATATAAATAGTTGGTTAGGACGTGATCCAAATAATCCATGGAGTCCATTGGGTACACATCATCCAGTTGATATTATACGTTTAACAGTTGCATTTTTCGGATTGACATTCCTTGCTGCAACACAAGATATCGCTGTAGATGGATGGGCTATATCAATTCTATCCAAGTATGTTTACATATATTTATGTTTGTTCATTTTTTGATGGGTATTTATGAAAAACTTGTTTTATTATGTTTTATAATCAGCTTTTGATTCATTGATTATTGGTGTTGTTGTTCATTCTAACATTGATAAATTTTAGTTAATTAACGACAAATTCGTTACTCTGTATCATGAATGTATATATTAAGGTTCCTTACTGTTCAGTACAATGTGGTTTCGTATTTCAGGTTTATGTTTATTGTAATACTTGTTAGTACAGATGTATCCTTCTGATGTTTTAACTGAAAGTTTAAGAATATATAAATTCCTCTAATCTATGGGTTATTTGACAACTACAGTAAAGGAATAAGTAAATTAATTGTTAGGGAGGTAGGAAAGATTATATAATTAAGCAGAATCTCATAAATACAAGAAAACATTTTGAAATTAGAGGTATAAATTTAATAGGTTAGGAAATAATTTTGATCCTGATGAAAGGCTTAACTTAGAGATATATCTTGTTAATACATTTCAGTAGAACCTAAAATCCAGCAGAATAATCTTTTGACCATTGTGAACCGTTATGTTTGAACTTTAGTGCATTAAAAAAGTACTGTTAAAATGGTAGGTACACAGTAAAGTGTTCGACAGAGATCAATTTACATTAGGAGATAGATTAAAATCAGTCAGCACTAAGGTATAGATATATACATAGAATAACAAACAAGTTAGTAAATTAATTACAACAGGCAGAGATATCTTCAAACTATCGTATGCTACTAAATGAAAAAAAAATAAACTATACGACTAGAGTATCTAGGTGGGAGGGAAGCGGAAAAAAACTTTCAAGAAACATGAAATTTCTTTCTTTCACAACATTGTTTCTGTGTGTTTTCTTTTCTTGAGAATTTGAATCGAATTTACCATAATTTTTCTAGTTAATCATTGTACCTTTCACACTTTGCTAAATAAAAATGTTTTGAGTATTTTAATCAGGATTAAAATGTAACCTAAAAATCGAATTATTCCCAGTGTTTTTCTCTTTATTTTGTTTTAATTATGGCAAGATTGTAGTTTATGAACGAACCAATCAGGTAATAAGATAAGAGGTCACGAATTTTGGAGCGAAATTCATTCATTTAATTCTTAACCTTAACCAACAATTATAAATTATAATCCTATTTCCTCATATTGGTTTATAACCCTTATATGGTCCTAGTTATTAGGTGGACATTCTCAAGGTCACTTTAGTGTCGCTCAAATGTCATCCATAAATTACAGTCTCACCGTAAACTATATAAAAGATCTTTTTTTGAGTAGATGAGGCAATTTTTTTTTGTTTTTCAATTTATCCCGTAAACGTTATAGTGATTGTTTTTAATAGTTTCTGTTAAAAAAAAATTAATATTCCCAGACAGTAAATTCAGAAGGTAAACATTAAATTACGTGGGTGTACATAGTATTGAGTTACTTTTTGAAATTAGATTAACTTTATAATAATAATCATAAATAGCAGCAGAAAGAAAACCGAAATACAGAAAAGTTTTTTTTTCGGTTGACTTCAGTTATAAAACAAATCAATGATGTATATTTACCTCATATTCAGAGATATTCTCATCGGATCCTATAAGTCATAAATAATTCGTTGCATGTATTTATCAGTTTAGTCTATTATTTGCATTTTAATCATCTTATAGCATTCAGTTTAAGTGATAATTAACTCATAAAACACTTGAAAGATTGGTACAATTTATAGTTAACATTTTATAGAAGAGATGAATTGTAGTTGACAATGGAATTCAGGACGCCCATTTTAATCTATTTAAGTCTCGTTAGTTGAGTTGTTATATTGAGGCACTCAATACAAAATACATATATATCAAATAAAACTGAATAAAATTCAGACCATAATATCAACGACAGAATAATTCAAATCCTAACAAACTAAAATTAATTAACGTATGGAAAAACAATTATTGAAGTAGAGAATAAATATATCAATTAATAATAAATCATAAAAATAATAATTGGATCTTTGATGTAATATTCGCTTAGAAAAGATTACTGATGGTTCATTGCTTAGTGTCTAACACATTATCTATCGATTTCTAATGCAACTATACATGAACTAGTCCAGATTGAAAACATTTGACTGAGATTTTCACTACCAACATTTAAAATTTGAAAAGAACATTAGGCGTTTTTAAATGAATTTTACTAGGTATATCATATAGTTTTTAATAGTTGAATTCATGATTCGATGTCAACTAGACCAACATGGAAAATCTGGAAACTGTTTCATACTACCATGGGACTCTTCAACATTGCGCATCCATGATCCCGTACTAAGGGGACTCGAACCCAGAACCTTCGGTCTTGTGCATGAACGCCTAACCTCTAGACCCCTGAGTCGGCATCCAACGATGTTTGTGTCTAATTTCAATTGATCCATGATCTTGTGCAACCATTCATCCATTGCCTAAGATAGATATCTGTCTCTACGCGGCACAGATTAGACTCCACTGGTCACGACTTCTCACTAGAACTGCAGACAATTCATCTTGAAGTCAATCAATAGTGAGCACATGATTATTATTAGAATGGTGGTTTGTAGAGATTGTGAAGATCTTAATAGTTGAATTAATGAGCTGACTGTTAACATTACTTTAATCTCCACAAAAACCCATTCTCATATAATTTTTGTCTGTGTATCTTAAAAGTTTCATATTTCTCAACAGAGTATACAATCTAATTCAATATTCTTTTGACAATAACAAAATTAATAAACTTCGTATTGAATGAAACTGATGTCGAATTACGTTTATCTTTAAAACAAAATTAGTTTTCTTTTAACAGTATAGGGGTCGTGAAGATCATTAAGTTTTTGATTGAGATCATGAACCTATTGATGTTAGACCATCATTGAAAACCTGGAAGCACTGAATGGCCGTTTCGTCATATTGTGGGACTCCACAACAGTGCGCATCCACGATCCCGATCGCTGAATCTGTTCTTTTCAATTAGAACTCTGAAACTGATCATTTTTATTGACATTAATGATTTTCTAAAAGATATTTATGTATAGAATCTTTTTGTTTGTTATAACTAATATAAAAAGGGTTTGTATAACTTTCATGAAAAATTATCTTTCTATCAATTGCATTTTGCCAAAGTATAATCTTTATTCTACTGAATAGAAAGAAGTATAGGAGTATAAAACTATTTCATCTATCTATTTTATCTATCAAATTCTATCCATTGATTATTTAAAAAAAATAATATTAACACACTTCAATCATGAATGATCTTGTATCCAACTAATCACATGCTGAAGATTAAATATTATACCATACAGAAGATGTAATTTTATTATTTTTTTCTCTATTGTTGAAAAGTTGATTTGATCAGTCAATCTTTCTATTAGTACCTAAACTACTGATAACAGGAATAGACATGATTAACTTTGTAGTCATTTAGTGAAGAAAAAAAGCACAAAAAAACATTACAACATAGATGACACATGTACCAGCTATATTATCACTTAATTTTATACTTTATGAATAGATCATCAACTTTATTTTTTAATTTAAAGTTTTAGTTTATGATGGTATATTCGTTATTTTGTTTTAATCATCTAAGAAATTCGAATTATGAATATTTCTGTTTTGTATAAAAAGTATATATCAATCTATGTGTAATACAATTATTGTAGGAAAATGCAATTTTTCCTTAAATGAAAAGTAACAATTATCATTAAATAGTATATGTTTAATGGGTGATACTATAATTTATGGACGAACCAATCAGGTATAAGATAATAAGTCTCAGATTTTGGCGCGAAATTCACTCATCCATTTGGTTAGATAGCGTTTTGGCATTATATCTTATATAAGTTCGTGATGAAAACCCTAAATCTAATTTCTAACTTTAACCATCAAATATAAATCATAATTCTAATACCTCACACAGGTTCATAACCCTCATATGGCCCTAGTTATTAGGTGGACACTCTCAAGGTCACTTTAGTGTCGCTCAAATGTCGTCCGTAAATTATAGTCTCACCGTTTATTGTAAGAAACAGAATAATAATGAATTCATTTATTTTTATAGATTCTTTTCAGTTGATTATAACTTAAAATGATAGTGTTAATCCTGAAAGTGAAATAAGTGTATATTACTTTAGATCTAAAACATTTAGAATGAACTAAGTTAATTGATATGGAGTTAGAATACATTTTGGCAGATTATAATATGGAGTATTAAAGAGGAAGAATGTATTTGTAAAATATCAGCGAATGAATTTGAAGTAAATCCTACGTTCTGCCTGGCAATCTGGTTCAATCTTTTTCAATGAAATATAATCAAACATCAAAATTATCGAATATAAATAGATACATGATTCTCTGGTTAATTGTGTACTAATTAGGTCGTCCAATCAACGTTAACAATGTTTAAAGTGAGTATTTGGTTTAGTGTGTAAGAGACATGTGATGTGAATGAAAAGTGTTAAGATTAAAGATAGAAACTTTTTAATGTAGACCCTTATTTATGCTGCGACGTGGTTTAAGTAATCTTATTAGATAGTTTGTCTTGATTTTTTTTGTCATCGTTGCCATTGGTGGGTGCATAGTATTGGATAACATTGTGATCATCTCTTCTTTGTTTTGAAGGATGCGTCGATGATTCTGGATTCATGAGATTTCCATCTTATAAGTGTTTTTCGTGCTTCATTGGATAGCATCAGTTCAACTTCTTGTTTGTGTAGAGTATTTTTTTCTTCATGATCAGAGTACAATAGTATCTCTCTCTATCCAGGTCGAGTTCAATGGGTTTCTCTTACTCCGAATATCGTCAAGTTGTATCCCCTCAATTCCATAGATGTTTGATTAATCCCCTCAGTCTAGACATTCCATGTACTTATAATAATTGTTTCTCTGGTTGTCCGAAGGGGCATTGACCTCGCAACTCCCGAAGAATCTTGGCTGTCACCATGAGTCGTCATAATTCTTGTGTATGAAGACACT